TGAAATTATCTAAACAGTTGTACGTATATCGAGCAGCGGTCCTCCCCACCCTGCTATATGACAGTGAGACATGGGCCACATACAGGAGGCACCTCAAGGCACTTGACTTTCACCAACGTAGTCTACGTTCCATCCTCCGAGTTCGCTGGGAAGACAAGAAAACAAATGTCAGTATTCTTGCTGACACCAACTGTAGGAGCGTCGAGGCTACCATTATCCATGAACAACTACCTTAGACTGGCCATTTTTACCCCCATGGACGACAGTAGACTGCCAAAGCAGCTACTTTACAGTCACCTAACTAATAGTAAACGTAACGCTGGTGAGCAACTGAAAAGGTATAAGGATAGTCTTAAGACAAACCCGAAAAAGTGCAATCAAGCCCTCACCTGGAGACGACCACTCCACACCGTAACGCTTGGAGGAGCACCACACGAGGTGTCAATACTTTCGAGTTAGTCCGACTGCATACCGAGGCAGACAAACGCCAGCGCCAGAGAAGAAGCTGCCACCACCCTCCGCACCTGGTAGTAGCCCTCCACACTTGCAACATCTGTGAACAACACTGCCGGTCCCGTATCGGCCTCTTTAGTCACCTCAGAACTCACCAATGAAGGTGACATCCCTAATAACTCACATCATTGTACTATAGCTGGATGATCGTCATACTTGATTCTGAGTTACAGCAAAGTAGTAATAGTAGTATATAAATAAATGGTAATGACGTGGGGTGAGAAAATAGAAGACTAAACAAGTTACACATCAGCGGCACGAAGGTTGAGAGGTTTCCTTGGTCCTGTTTCTGTCTGGCTTCATGACTTGTACTGCTGAGAGCGGTGTTACGTGGCCTTGTTTATGTGAGAGGCCATTTTGTGTACATGTATGGTGCTGTAAACTATGTGGTCAACTCACTTTAACACTTAAGCTGCCTGGCCACACACGCACACACTTGAAATGGTGTCAGTCAAGGAACTACTAACGAGGACAAGAACGAGGAGGACATCGAGGACGAGGGCGAGGACGAGAACGAGAACTAGAGCGAGAACGAGGAACTAGAGCGAGAACGAACTAGAGCGAGAACGAGAACTATAGCGAGAACGAGGAACTAGAACGAGGAACGAGAACTAGAGCAAGAACTAGACCTATAGCGAGAACGAGAACTAGCGAGAACGAGAACTATAGCGAGAACGTGGACAAAGAGGCCCCTTGTCTTCCTCCTCCCCTCCTCACCACCATTCTAACCCCCGTCTGCCCCACCCCGTCCTCCCCTCCTCACCACCATTCTTAACTCTTGCCCCCACCCCACCCGTCTCCTCCCCCTTAACCCCATCTGCCCCCACCCCCCACCCCGTCTCCTCCCCCTTAACCCCCATCTGCCCCCCACCACCCCGTCTCCTCCCCCTTAACCCCGTCTGCCCCACACCCCACCCCGTCTCCTCCCCTTAACCCCATCTGCCCCACCCACCCCGTCTCCTCCCCCCTCCTCCTCTCCACAGTATTCCTCCCTGGGTGTTCTTATTATCCCCGAGGCTGTAGAAGATGTATTGTGTTGGCCCTTCATCTGGTGGGTCTGAGGCTCACTAATGAGACTCTCTAGAATGGTGAGCCTCTCTCTCTCTCTCTCTCTCTCTCTCTCTCTCTCTCTCTCTCTCTCTCTCCACACTTGTTGTTCTCTGTATGTGAACCTGTGGCTGTTTAAGTGAAAGACGTACACACACACACACACACACACACACACACACACACACACACACACACACACACCATTCCCAGAGTAAAATACACAGCTCACCATTCACTATATCACCCTGTTGCCATATCTATGTCTCACCCTGTTGCCATATCTACATCACCTTTGCATATCTATATCACCCTGTTGCCATATCTACATCACCCTGTTGCCATATCTACATCCCCCTGTTGCCATATCTATATCACCCTGTTGCCATATCTACATCACCCTGTTGCCATATCTACATCACTGTTGCCATATCCATCATACCCTGTTGCATATCTACACCACCCTGTTGCCATATCTACATCACCCTGTTGCCATATCTACATCACCCTGTTGCCATATCTATTCATCACCCTGTTGCCATATCTACATCACCCTGTTGCCATATCTACATCACCCTGTTGCCCATATCTGCATCATCATCACCCTGTTGCCATATCTACATCACCCTGTTGCCATATCTGTCATCATCACCCTGTTGCCATATCTACATCACCCTGTTGCCATATCTACATCACCCTGTTGCCCATATCTACATCACCCTGTTGCCATATCTACATCACCCTATTGCCATATCTACATCACCCTGTGCCATATCTACCACCCTGTCGCCATATCTACATCACCCTGTTGCCATATCTACATCACCCTGTTGCCATATCTGTCGTCATCACCCCTGTTGCCATATCTACATCACCCTGTTGCCATATCTACATCACCCTGTTGCCATATCTGTCGTCATCACCCTGTTGCCATATCTAC